AGCACGTCTTCAATAAGGGCGTGTCTTGTGTTCTTACTGCAGCCCTCTGAGTACCTGCATGTTATTGCCATTTTCAAGCTCCCGCCATTGTTGTCTGCATGTTTTTTGACACTCTCGCTATTGTTGCATGCGTCGGTGTGCTTCTCGCCAACACTCGTGCTGTGCATGTCTCTGTGACGCATAATTCACCACCACTTCGCACGCTGCTTTGGACCCCCGCCCAATTCGCGGGCCGGGGTGCTCACGCAGTGGGTGCCCCTTACTCGGAATGGAAGAGGGAGATCTGCTTGCCTGATCTCGTGGATCACTCACCCATCTATTGTCTGTCTTCACCTGTCTGTTGCGTATCCTTCCTGCCGTCCCGTGAGTGAATGTCGTGGCCAGATCTCTCTGTGTCCGTCAGCGTGTCCTTCTTCCTGCGGATCTACGCGGATCACTGTTCACAGAGTAGCTGTGTGCGTGTCCTTCGGTCCCTCACCCAATGGTGGCTCTCCGTGGCATGATGCTGTTGGCCTTGGCCGTCACGCTCGCCCTCTGTTCGACGCCCACAAGCACAACACACGAGGTATGTACGTCTGTACCACACGCACACTCACGCTCACACACGCACCCGCAACGTAATCAGTCAGCTGCCTTTCCTCGATGTCTGTCTGTTTGTCTGTCTGTCTGCGGCTCTCTGACTGTGCATTCGTGTGTAGGTGCGTCGTTTGCAGGACACTTTTCCGGTCGGCACCAACCTGTCTCAGTCAGAATACGAGGGCCTCCGTGGCCTGCTGGAAGCAAAGAACGATACGAAGCTCACGACCCTCTACAGGTCGGTATACACACATATATACAGATGTGTATTTTGGTGCACCTCATCAACAATAGCTGTCTGTCGTGTGTGTGTGTGTGTGTGTGTATGTGTGGCATGCAGGGCCACTTGGGACGGCACATTTTATGGCGATCTGCTGGACCTTGTGGAGAACAAGACGGACGTGGTGATTGTGATCCGCAAAGACCAGTATCTCTTTGCCGTCTACATCAAAGACGGCATCCAAACTCCCGCCAACGCGACCAAGATGCATATCTACAAGAGTGAGGTGTCGTGGTTCTCACTGGCGGGCCACTTCGACACGCCGACCGAAATCAAGCTATGGCAATCGTGGCAGGAGATACGGGTGGTGGGCAGGGTGGGAGACTACTGTGACCGTATACCCAGCGCCTGGGACATCGCGTGTGGATCGAGGGTGCTTATCGGCGGAAGGTTGATGTTGGGCTTGAACGAGCCGTATTATGACGATGGCTGGATCGACAGCGGCTTTCAAGACATCCCCATAGAGTATGTTCCAGACGGCTACGAGGGTGTGCGGGGGGGAAACTCTGGTGACCCCACCGACAGGGGCGACCGTAAGTATGCTTGGCTGGCGGGGTCGTTTGAGTTTCGGGCAGATGAGCTAGAGGTGCTTCAAGTGTACCCGCCACAACCGACTGCCCCGCCCCCCCCGCCACCGCCTGCTCAACCACCTGCCGGCTTGTCGCTATCTGATGTGGAGTACGGCGGGCTGCTTAGCCTGCTGAAGCCATCAAATGACACGATGGTCGACACGCTCCACCGGTATGTGTCTGTTCAAACACACTCACGTGTGGTGCATCAAAGCACTTACAGTGGCTGTTTGTTGTGTGTGTGTGTGATACAGGGCCTCTGTGGATTGAGCATCGTATGGCGAGCTGCTGGACCGTGTGGAGAATGAGACGGACTTGATGATAGTCATCCGCGAAGGCCCGTATCTGTTCGGTGTCTACATCAGCGAAGGCATCCGGCCGCCCGCCAATGCGGTAGAGAGCCACAAGTACAAGTGTGAGGTGTTTTGGTTCTCACTATCGGGACGCTACAAGAATCCGACCAGGATCGACATACCTCAGAGGGTGACATGCGATGTGGCGGGAAGGCGGGGGACTGTGCGGCGTGATTGGCGGTGGGGTGGCCGAGATACAGCTGCAAGGATGTCTATGGTGAGTTCTTCCTATGGTGAGTTCTTCCTGGCCGACGGTAACTGCGACGGCACATGCAGTCGCCCTGCTGCCGACATCCGCAACTGCAGTCAGCTGACTGAGTGGAATTGGCTGCCTCCGGGCTACGAGAATCCAGGGAATCAGGGCGATCGAGCCGTTCCGCTGGGCGGGTCGGAGGTTTTCATGGCTGATGATATAGAAATCTTGCAAGTGCGCGGAGAGATCGCCGAGCCGCGCAGCACTCCTACTCCGCCTCAGCCGACCACAAGCCCCCCCCCCACAGCCGACAACAACAACCCCCGAGCCGACACCGACATCGGAGCCGACGAGAACATCCACTTCCGAGCCCGAGCCGACACCAACACCCAGCGAGACAACCCCCCCAACCTCTACGGCAACACCGCTAACGTCAACACCACCCGATCCGACTGAGAGCGCAGCGGTGTGTGGGGGGGGATTGTGGTGGGGCGGGGTGGTGGTAGCGATGGTGATCTGCACGTTGGGGCTCTTGTAGAAGCACTCGACCAGTGTTGTTGGTGCGGCGGAACAGGAGCGATGTGTGTGTGTAGGAGCGATGTGTGTGTGTAAGTGCGTGTGCATCTGTCTGTAAGTTGTCTGTAAGTGTACGTGTTCAACGTGTGTGTCTCTGACAACATGAGTACATGTAAGTGCTGTGTACGTGTCGTCTGTCCCGTTAGCTCCGTGATCGGATGGCCACCAGTGAGCCCTGGCCAAACGAAATGTGTGTGTGTGTGTGTGTGTGTGCTAGGAGTGTTGTTCCGCGACACAGCTGGCATGTGGGTGCTGTTCCGCTGTGTGTTGCTTAGTCAAGTAGTGACTGCTCTGCACTGCGCTAACACACATACCCATAGACTGCCACATGTGCTGTGGTGCTGTGCTGTGGCGGGGCTGCCGTCTGCCATCTACTGGGACGCCTGAGGGTGAGCCGATCGATTTCATGATGTACATGCCTCTCTCTCTTTTTCTCTGTGCCTGCGTGACTGTAAGTGTGCTGGGGTGTGAGTACGTGTGTGTGTGTGGAGGGTGGGGGGGGGGGGGGGGGGGGG